GGTGGGGGTGGTGGTGGTGGTGGTAGGGGTGGAGGGGGGTGGTGAGGGTGATGGTGGAGGTTGAGGGGGGTGGAGGGGATGGAGGTGGAGGGGGTGGAGGGGGGTGGTAGGGGTGGTGGTGGTGGTGGTGGTGGGGGTGGTGGTGATGGTGGTGGTGGGGGTGGGGGTGGTGGTGGTAGTGGTGGTGGTGGGGGTGGTAGTGGTGGGGGTGGGGGTGGTGGTGGTGGGCGTGGGGGTGGTAGTGGTGGGGGTGGTAGTGGTGGTGGTGGTGGGGGTGATGGTGGTGGTGGGGGTGATGGTGGGGGTGATGGTGATGGTGGAGGTGGTGGAGGTGGTGGGGGTGGTGGGGATGGAGTTGGAGGGGGTGGTGGAGGTGGAGGTGGGGGGTGGTGGAGGTGGAGTGGGTGGTGGAGGTGGAGTGGGTGGTGGAGGTGATAGTGGAGGTGGAGGTGGTGGAGGTGATGGGGGCGGACGGTACCCGTCGCCAGCCCTGCCGCTTTGCAAGGGAGCCCGATCTGGCCACGGGGAGAAGACAAAACGGAGGCCCCCTTCTGTTTGCGGGTGAGGTTGGTGGCAGAGCGCGAGGCCCTGCGCTCACCCTGCAGGAACGCGTCGAGCGGAGCGCTCGTGATCACGTGGCAAGCAGCGGCGTCACGTGACAAGCAGCGGCGTCACGTGACAAGCAGCGGCGTCACGTGACAAGCAGCGGCGTCACGTGACAAGCAGCGGCGTCACGTGACAAGCGAGGGCTTGACGGGCGCGGGCTGCCATAATCACGGTTGGCACGTCACGTGGCAAGCAGCGGCGTCACGTGGCAAGGGCTTGACAGGGGCTGCCATAATCACGGCTACCACAGAGTCAGATACCGATAGTCTCCAGCAAGTTCCGTGGGGTGGCGAGGGCTTGACGGGCGGGGGCTGCCATAATCACGGTTGGCACGTCACGTGGCAAGCAGGAGCGTCACGTGGCAAGCGAGGGCTGCCATAATCACGGTTGGCACGTCACGTGGCAAGCAGCAGCGTCACGTGACAAGCAGCGGCGTCACGTGGCAAGCGAGGGCTAACGGCGGGGGCTGCCATAATCACGGTTGGCACGTCACGTGACAAGCAGCAGCGTCACGTGGCAAGCGAGGGCTGCCATAATCACGGTTGGCACGTCACGTGGCAAGCAGCGGCGTCACGTGACAAGCAGCGGCGTCACGTGGCAAGCAGCGGCGTCACGTGACAAGCGAAGGGGCTTCACGGCGGGCTACGTTGGGACGACGGCAAGGGACATTCAGTGAACGCAACCAGCTGCATCGCGATAACGATCGCCCGGGGGATCCCGCGCGGCTGGCTTTAAAATTGGGCTTCGTGAAACTGCGGGGGGCTCGCGGAGGTCTCGTTCGCCCTGGGCGGCCTGGCGGGCAGCTCCGGTTCACGACGCCCGCCGTGAATTTGCAATCCCGAGGGCGTGAAGAGTGTCACGTTTTATTATGTCCTTGGTTATTTCGGCGGTGAGGTCACCGCGTCGAAGGGAGGGCAATGAGAGAATAAGAATATGAAACGATAAAATGCTCACGACGTTTCGACTGCAACACCAAGCAATCATCATCATCATCATGTGTGAAAACCACAGCAAGAGAAAAAAATTTTTAAAAAATTTTCGCCGTGAGAATTTTATTGTTTTAGATTTTTTTTATTTTATTGTTTTATATTTTTTATTGTTTTATATTTTTATTTTGTTTTATATTTTTTATTATTTTATTGTTTTGTATTTTTATTTTATTGTTTTATATTTTTTATTGTTTTATATTTTTTATTGTTTTATATTTTTTATTGTTTTAGATTTTTTATTGTTTTAGATTTTTATTATTTTATTGTTTTATATTTTTTATTGTTTTAGATTTTTATTTTATTGTTTTATATTTTTATTGTTTTATATTTTTTATTGTGTTATATTTTTTATTGTTTTATATTTTTATTGTTTTATATTATTTTATTTTATTGTTGTATTGTTTTATATTTTTATTGTTTTATATTTTTTTTATTATTTTATTGTTTTATATTTTTATTATTTTATTGTGTTCCCTTCTACGTGACTTTACCGAAAGTACCAAGAACATAATGCCGGGTTGGGTTTTGTTTTCGCTTGCCGCGTGAAAACGATTTAACAAAAAAAATGTACACACATTTTTTGCAACTAAAAGTTTCGGTCAAGAATGTCCGCTGCCAAATCTGAATAGGTCACGGTTTGGCGAATTGACAAAACTCATCCTCCCCATTCCTGAAATGTGAAGAGCTTAATGACTATTTAACTATTTTATATATATACATTTTAGCAGGTGTAAGCGTCCACCCCTCCCACCACCCCACCCACCTCCAGCACAACTGAGTCTACGTGGCTGTTAAACTGAAAACTGCTCAGAAGCTACCCGCCCGTCGCAAATGATAGCCGCTTAACCAAGTGGCGGGTCTCATCGTCGTCGTCATCATCATCATCATCGTCACGTTGAAATTTATACAGCGTCGGCCAAATAGTCTAAACGCACCGCGTTGATTCTAAACGCGGAGGGGAAGGATCGGAGGACATGGAGAAAATTCCACGCCACCACGGGGAGAGAGACAGAGAGAGAGAGAGAGACGCGTACACTCCAAATATAGAACAGCAGGCGTCAGGGTCGGGATCGAACCCACGACCTCCTGCGTACCAGGCGAGGTAGTCAACATCTCATAGCCACCGTGATGATTGAGAGAGAGACACGCAGACTCCACATATACAGCAGCAGGCATCGTCAGGGTCGGGATCGAACCCACGACCTCCTGTATACCAGGCGAGGTAGTCAACATCTCCTAGCCACCGTGATGATTGAGAGAGAGACACGCAAACTCCACATATACAGCAGCAGGCATCGTCAGGGTCGGGATCGAACCCACGACCTCCTGCGTACCAGGCGAGGTAGTCAACATCTCCTAGCCACCGTGATGATGATGAGAGAGACATGCAGACTCCAAATGTACAGCAGCAGGCATCGTCAGGGTCGGGATCGACCCTGACGACCTCCTGTATACCAGGCGAGGTAGTCAACATCTCCTAGCCACCGTGATGATGATGATAATGATGAGAGAGACACGCAGACTCCAACTGTACAGAAGGCGTCGTGAGAGATTGGGATGTCTGTACGCTGAACTTCTTTCGCACCGTACGTAGCCAACCGTGCTAAGTGGAGGTGCGACATGGAAGCCACGAATCTCCTGCGTACCAGGCGGGGTAGGGTGAGCGCGACCATGATGACGACGATGATGACGATGATGATGACGACGATGACGACGACGATGATGACGATGATGACGACGATGATGATGATGATGACAACGATGATGATAACGATGAGCATAACGATGATGATGACGATGATGATGGCAATTATAATCGTGTTGTTCGTATGCCTTGTGTCCCGTCACGTGACGTCCGTCTGGCATGCCGTGTGTTTATTCCTCGTGACCACGCGCGGTCTTCTCGCGCGGTGGCCGCTGGTAATAATGGACAGCTGTGAAGAAGCGTGTTAGACCCCGTTTCACCTGCAAACGTGGGCCCGACGTCGTGCCAACGTCGGCTCAACGTCAACCCACAACATTCACAATTCGTTACTAGTACAGCACTAACCGGTGGCTGTGTGTTGGAGAGTTAAACCCACTAGAACATTTACAATTCGTTACTAGTACAGCACTAACCGGTTGCTGTGTGTTGGAGAGTTAAACCCACTACAACATTCACAATTCGTTACTAGTACAGCACTAACCGGTGGCTGTGTGTTGGAGAGTTAAACCCACTACTACATTCACAATTCGTTATTAAGTACAACACTAACCGGTTGCTGTATTGCCCATCTAGCCACTCTACGGCAGAACTCGACACGGTTCGCGATCCCGGCCCGCACCACGAGCTGGGTCCCGGACCGCGTGGCTAGAGGCTTCTCCTCCCCTGGCGTGGAACTTCATCACCAGCGACACGAAGAAGACCCCTCGCCCTTCCAGGCCCCGCCCTCCAGGCCCCGCCCCTCCAGGCCCCGCCCCTCGCCCTTCCAGGCTCCGCCCCTTCGCCTCGCGCCCTCCAGGCCTCGCCCCGCCCAACTTCCAGGCCCCGCCCACCTTCCAGGCCTCTCCGGCTCTTTCCCCGAAGGCTCCCCGCGAGAGCTCTTTGAGACCACGTGACCGCGCAGCGGCCCCCATCCACCGGTGCCCCCCCCCGCCTCCAATAACGTGGGGTTCACGTGCCGGCAGGTCAAGCGGCGTACCGTGCCCCCCACGTGACCCCCGGCTGGGCGACGCTCCCTCACCGCGGGGCCTCCGCGCCGGCCCCCCACTCGCCCAGGGCCCCCCGCTAGGGCCGCTACGACGCCCAGTGAGCGGGCTGCACGTGATGGCGACGCGTTACCCGCCGTGGCTTCGTAAGCCCCAATCACGGTCACTGCAGAAAGGATCTCTCTTTTGTGTTTTTTTTAATGTAGACTAGCTTTACTACCCGGCTTCGCCCGGTGACTTGGATCCATCACGCCCGGCCGCCTTTGTCTCCCCAGTGGCGATGTTCACACAGCAGAGCAGCTACTCGTTTTGAGGCTGAGTCGACGTAGGGGAGGCCCAGGACCGGTTGAAATAATCGTCACCGGTGGTGGCCGTGAGCGGGAATGGAACTCGGGTCGCCGGGTTCGTAGCGCAGCGTAGCGCTAACCACTACACTACAGCTCCCCCCCCCCCACACACACATTGATACACACACACACAGATACACACACATACAACAACAACAACCGCCATTCGCCACTAAGTGGCGGTGACGTCACCACGACGCTTGTGCCAGGCTATGTGCACCCTGAGGCCACGTGAAGTGTCGAACGCCCGCTGGCAGGAGGTCACGGGGCAGACCCAGGTGCCACGGGTCGACTGACTGAGATGACTGGCTGATGCACCACCTGTGCCCCCTACTGTGCCAACCTGCTGTGCTTTAGCCACCCGGCGCTC